CATGTCCTGCATCCTGCTCCACCCTGGCTGGACAGCCCCAGCCTCACTTCCTCCCTCACTGTGGGGGAGGAGGGGAGGTGCTCGTTCTGTGCCCCCATGCCTCTTCCATCCCCCATTGCTCTTCCCCCACCCCCACAGACATACCTGCTAGATGCTGCTCTCCAGGCTACCAGGCTGCATACCGGCAATCAGATCAGTATTGGCTGATATGGCTGGTTAATAATCAACCATCGGTATCAGCCAAAATTCTTTATTGGTGCACTGCTGCAAAGAAGGCTCATCTAATTATGACATTTTTGTACAATTGGAGCTTACGATGGTTTGATTGAATCATAACTTTTAATGGTGCATCACATCTGTATAACTTATAGTGGGTTGGATATGCATCACTGCAGCTTGCAGATGAAGCATTCGTTCAGTTTAATGCTAATGCATGCTAGGTACCCATCCCACATTTCCCAGCATGGATCTCAGAGGGATCTTGTAGGAGTAGCAGTCTGTAGTTATAGCTGTGCCATTAACCTTCAAAGGAACATGAATGGTATCAGTTCGGCATTTCTCAGTGCATGAAACTTGTTTTTTCAAATATTGAATTGAGTTTTTGTTTCATTTAGGGTCATTGACAGGCTTCATGTTATGCTCAAGTTTCTTTAAAGAGGTCGTTTTCTCTTTTAAAAAAAAGTTATGAATAACATTTCAAAAACCTTTAAAACAAAAAAGTATACAGTAGAGTTTGGATTGAGGGGTAGCAGGAAGAAGTGTAGAAAGACTGCTTGCAACAAGGAAGCTCTGACACCCTAATTTTATCTGTACACTAGAACTGCAGCAGTACATAGTGAGTGACTCAGTGAGAGAGGACTGTGAAGAACCATATCCAGAGCAAATGCATTTATGACAGTGTTGGCAATAGTTGTGCCAAACATTTGAGTGTGGACAGGTAGTATATTGCAAGCTTGGCAAATTCCATGTTATGCTTTTTGAAGTTTCAAAATGCTCCAGTGCAGACCAGTCTAAAAAGTTATATATGCCATTATGTAAAATATACTTAATACTCATGAAATTTGCTTTATTCACTCATGATGCTATTGATTTGAATTCCAGTCAGGTTTAAAAATTTGTTTTTGGTGCTAACCTCTAAAGTCCTTCTTTGAGATTTTAAGATTATCTTTTGAGATTTTACTATTATCATCACCTTTTGTTCATTTTCTAAAACAAATTCTTATGTTGGGGGGGGAAAAAAGCCTATATTAACAAGGGAGCATGACTGACTGGTAACTATACAGAAAAAAATAGAACAGCAGACTATATTACACTGTTTCTGAAGTGGTGCCAATGCACAAAAGTAAACGAACACAAAAAAAGTAACAAAATCACTTTCCTTTGTCTTGTTTTACATTATGCTGGATAATGTTTTCTAAGAGGCCCCTGCATATTCCTAGCCCAAGGTAGGCAGCCTGGGTGGTCCAGGTTGTACTGTTTGTACACCCCAGTGATTGGAGTGTACAAGCTCCAGCTACAGGTGAATAACCTTTATTCACTCTAAACCAGTAGTTCTCAACCTCGTTAGATTCAAGGCATTATTCAGAAAATTCCAGCTCTTAGTTTGTACTCTTTTTGACTATGGACAAATAATAGAGGAGATCTGTCGCGGAGAACTTTGAAAGAGTGCAGTAGGTCAGATTTTTTTTGATGCTATGAATTTCTGTTTGAAATCTCTAGGTTTATTTTATGAATCCTGTGTAGGTGTCATCTTTAAAAGGATCTCATGACACACTAGGGGTGCTGTGACACCTCAGTTGAGAATCGTTGCTTTAAATTCTGGGTAGGTACTAGGGCTGTGCAAAGCTTCAGTCACTGATTCAACTCGGCCTGATTCGGTGGCTGAATCTCCGAATCAGGAGATGCCTTAATCTCTCCAAATCGAATTGGAACCCTCCGAATCAAATTGGAAAGGTTCGACGATTCAGTCACAGCTTTAAATGTTTTTTTTACATACCTGAAAGTACCAGGTGGTTCATAAATGCTGTCATAGTTGGGTAGATGGAGTGCACCTGGCAGTAGACCCAGAAATAGACCAGAAACACTTTCGGTCCATTTTCCAGGTCTTCTGGGGAACGTGCTGGGGGGGCCCCCTGCACCCTCCGTGGCTCAGCAGCTGGTGCCTCCTGGGTCTGGGGTGCACCCAGGATCTCCCTGCAGCTGATCGCTGAGCTGGGAGGGTGTGGGGGGGTCCCCAGCGTGCTTGGCAGCTGACCCAGAAGTGGACCAGGTCTGGAAGTACTTCTGGGTTTGCCACCGAGCATACAGGGCCCCCCCCCCTCCCCCTCACTGCTGTGGGACACTCCATCTGCCGCACCATTGCACCATTCACGAGCTGCGCCTGGTACCTTGAGGTATTTGGAAAAAACATTTAAAGCTGTCTGGCTGAAATCAGCACTGAATCTTCAGATTTGGATTTAGCCAAATCAAATCGGGGACAGTGATCAGAATCAACTAATCAAATCATTGTCCCTGATTCGGGCCGAATCAGAATCTAATACTGCTTGTTTTGCACACCCCTAGTAGGTGCATATTTTTCAGTTAGAAGCTATGCGGTCTTTTAAACTGGTTTCTCATTTGTGCTGCAGGTAGTATATAGTAAAGGACTAATCTTTATTCTATAAAACGGTGACAAGTTGGCATACATACAAATAAAAGTCCATGTTCTCAATCCTGTTAATAACACTAGATATAGGTGTTTCAGTAACATCACATATGCTTATATGTTGCAGAAATTGAAGATTGTTATTATGGTGTTTATTGCATTTTAAATGAGGATTTTTCTCTGCTCCCTAGCATATTCCATTCAGGGGCAGAATGTTCAGATGATCAGTCCATCAAGTGAGTCTCACCAGCAAGTTGTAGCAGTTGGACAACCACTTGCTTTGCAGCCACAGGGAACAGTAATGGTAAATCAAACTTTTTAAATAGATTGTTTATGCTTAATTATTTTCCATTCTTTGCATATGGGTGTATGAACAGGTAAGCATGTTGAAAGGGGAACTTACGGCATGCCATCTGATTCACAGTAGCCTTTTGTATCTACTTCATTCTGCAACAAGTAGAATCTAAACCATGTTAATGAACAGTTGTTTCCTTCACGGGTTAACTACGTAGTTTATTTTTCAATTACTGTGGGTGAGGGCGACACAAAATGGTTCTCTTGGATCAGTTGATTCTAGGTTAGTCCGTTCCTCCCTCCCCTTTTACATCTCTGTAATTAATTGCATCCGTATGCTCATTCTCATTCTCTGCACCAGTCATTTTCATATATGAATTTTTTTAAACTGTCTTGCAATAGACAGTTATTTGAAATAATGAACCACTTCCATGTAGTAATCCCTGGTGTAACGTCTCTGACGGCCAAGAGCTCCCCAGTTGACAAACGCCAAAGTACACAAAGACAAAGATACAGACACTGTTTTTGTTATATAAAAGAATTTGAAATAACAGTACCATTTACTTAGAGATCCCATTTTTGTTTTGGAAAGAACTATTCAGTGAACAGTAAATGTCTAATCATGAAAAGGGTACGTCTACACTGCAGTACCCAGGGTCTTACTTGTGTTTTAGCCACTTTATTCATTCTGACGTGAGCCCCCTGTGTCCATGTTTGTGGACTTTGAAACCTGGACTTGTTTGCATACTTAAGCATATGGGTAAAAGCATAGGTTTTGCTTTAAAATAGATTTTTACCAAGCACTTTACAATTGATTTAAGCTTGGGAAATAGTTAATATTTTACATACCCAGTGCCATCTCAAAATTCCTCAGTCCTGTCTCTACTTCCTACTCACGACCTCTACATAAGACTTTTCCTTTTGGTTTCTGTATATGTGGTTGTCCTTTAGTCCTTTGTTCCATGTGGCCCACCCCATGTTTTGCCTGCTCTGTTCAGGTCAGCTCAGTTCAGCTAAGCTAGCCTCATGAGGTGTTATTACAGCGTTTCCATTAGCTGATGAAAAGAGAACAATGGGATTCTACTTAGTTTGGTGCAAGTACAGCAAGGACCTCGATTTCAGGAGAAGCATCCAAAATCTTCAGTGATATAGCACGTGGAAGGGGCTGGAAAAGCAGAGGATTGGAAGGAAGTGCATTTGAAATCTGACGGACACCATCTTAAAGGCAGAGGATGGCAGCTTAGACTGGTGACTCTTGGCCTATCTACCCTAACTTACTTAAGGAGTTTAACTAAGTGCTCCTGAATGACAGGCTTTTTATCTGGGAGAGCAGGGATGGTATAGGAAAAAGGGACTGGGATAGGGATAGGACTGGAGGAGGTAAGTCAGAGAAACAGGCCACAGTGCTTGAACAGGCTGTGGAACAAGCTGTAGAAGATAGCCTCGTTCTGAAGGAAAATATTTAAATATTCAATTGGTGCTTCATATTTATGAAGTTTGTAATCATTTAAAAAGAATCAAAGCTGAGATTGCAGGTATAGTGAACATCGAATACATATTTCTGTGCGTACTGCTCTCTGTACCTTTCATACTGGGGGGGTTCAGCTGTTAGTTCAGGCAGATAGTTATGTCCTGTATCCACTGGTAAAGCACAGAGTAGTTTTACAGATCTTCACTACCATAGCACTGACAAGTGACTTGCTAAGACCAAACTTCTTAGTCACAGGTCTGTGCAAGTCTAAGGCAGGCAGCTTCGCCATGGCTTCTCAGCTGTCATGGCTTCCCTTATTTATACATCTTGGTACTGGAAGTCCACTCTCAGACCCATGCGGGTCTACTTTGTCATGTGGAAGTTCTGAGGCTACTGCCAGTTTCTTCTGGTAGGTCCCATGAAAATAAGCCCATCACTCTGTATTAGTTCTTCATCAGAATTGCTGGTCCATTGGGAAGTCTAATGCTTGGAGCATATACAGGCAGTCCGCAACTTACAACGTTTCGAGTTGCAACATTTCGCACTTACAGCATTTATAAATTGACAGCCTGTTCCAACTTTCCTCCCCCTCTGTGCGGCACTGGTCAGGCCGCAGCTGGAGTACTGCGTCCAGTTCTGGGCGCCGCGCTTTAAGAGGGATGTGGACAGCATCGAGAGGGTCCAGAGGAGGGCCACTCGTATGGTCAAGGGACAGCAGGGTAGGTCCTATGAGGAAAGGTTGCAGGACCTGAACCTGTTCAGCCTCCAAAAGAGAAGGCTGAGGGGGGATCTTGTGGCCTGTTATAAACTGGTTAGGGGGGATCAGCAGGCGCTGGGGGAGTCCCTGTTCCCCC